TACCAAATTTTCTTGCTTTTCAAGTCGTCATATATCTGTGTCACCTTAGTTATATTTATATTGTATATTTCGTTGCTTTATTTTTAATTTGATTAATAATTCTTGCGTTGGTAATTTGCTTTGTTATAAGAGTATATCTAGCTTAGGTTTCGATTTATTTTAATTATTATCAATCAGTTTGTGTGAGATATCTCCGCCAATTTAAACAAAGTAAACAATAGCTGAGGAACAAAGTTTTCTAGCAAATGTTTTAAATCTAATTATTATCTTTATATACATTATTCATTATTCTTCTATTAGGTATATATAGACCTTCTCAAAATTCATTAGTCTTATGTTTTTGATCTTTCAAAGGCCTTTGACTGACTTTATCACGAGACGATAATCAGGAAACTAAAACCGTGATATTATTGCGTAAGAAATTTTATTCTATTTATTGGTTCATAATTTAGTATTAGAATTCAAAAAGTTGTTACAATCGTTAAGAGTTCTTACGGGTCGAATAACCACGATAGAGTATTATTTGCTAAAGATACTTTATCAATTTTCAAACTAAAATAACACTTAGTGGAACATGGCGAAGTGAAAAATGAGAAATGAATATTAAAATTAGTTGAGAGTTCAATAGAGTTGACATTTTTTATTATTGACAACGAATGTTAAACATCTAAATGTTAATGTGATTTCATACGAAGAAGAGTTGAGTCTTGTTGATAACACTGTTTTTCTGGGAATCACTCAGTATGTAAAGCTTCCATGGGACTTTATATTTAACCTAACAAGCAGAGTTAATTCTCCGGTATATGCTATAAAAATGCGTTATTTGTATAGAAACAGCAAAGTTACTTTATTTTAATTGTTTCCATATTATAACATCGTATAGAAACTTGCTATGAGATATGAACTACAATTTTATTGATTCAGATAAGCAGGAAGTCGATAGGTGCAGGTAGCTCAAGACCGTGCTTTGTGAGGCCTATGTTCAGCTGTGGAATTGTGAAAAGTTGTAATGATGATGAATTATTGATTATGTGTTAATCAGATTAAAAATAAAATCTTCTCATCAAGTTAGAGCGCCTTCTAAACAATTGTATCAGATATATTTTTAGTCTTCGTAAACATGACTCTATTTCTCAATATTGCTCTCATCTTAAATGACTCAACATATAATTAACCTTATAAATTACAAGTGTAACCTAACAACAAAAAAAAATATATATACATTTAATAACTTCCTAAAGCTTTGACTTCAGCTATAATGTGGAACAAGTTTTTTAGTTTTTAAATCGGTTTGTACTTTTGATTTAAAGTTTTTTTTTACCTTTGGTTAAATTATTCTACCTACCCTTTTGAGTGTTCTAAGTAATATCACAAGTTCAAAGTAACATCTAAAATGTCTTGTCTTAGATATCTTGTGTTGGACTGTATGATAATTTAAGTTATTAATTCTAGTTTATTTTAATTATAGTTTTTAATATTGTATATTTTTTATTGCTATGTAATATAAAGAATAAAAAAATTGTAACTTAAAGTTACATTAAAATATTTTTTAGCTATTTATGAACCATTTAGAAATTTTTCTTCAAATATAATACGGGACTCCTTCACCGTTCAGGTGCATTTCTTTAGTACTTCTATCTCAAAAATATTGTAAAAATATTTACTAAGACTGCCTCAAAAGATTGATACGCGAATACTTTTTAAAGACATTTGATATGAGTTAATGTGAACAATGTTATCATTTGAATACTCTTGTTGTAAATTATATATTTTTATTTGTGAAGATATTATAGTAACCATATAGTTATCGAATAGTACAGTAGTTATCGAATAGTACAGTAGTTATCGAATAGAGTTGCTATCTTGCTTTAATGCGACTGTCATTATAATCTTTCTTTCGCAGAAGTGAGACATAAGATCAATTTATAATCTAAGCAATATATTTATAAGACGATAGCCAATGAAAGATAAAAACATTTATTTTTGAAGTAACAAATGAACCTGCAGTCCTCCCAATGATGAATGCAGTAAACATTGCAAACCGTGGACACCTGCAGCATTGAGTACTACAATTTTGAGTAACGAACGCTACAAATGCGTTGTCACTTCTAAAGACCAAGATGGACTACCTCCCAGTATGTAATATATATATATATATATATATATATATATATATATATATATATATATATATATATATATATTATTTCACTTCCGATTTTCTCCCTCGGCTCTGTACAGTTATTTATAATACAGAAACATGATAAAAACTAGTCCGTCCAAGATACTTTGTAGACATTTACCTATAAAAATATATACATAGGTACTCCCTGTTTGAAGGGGTTCACGCTGAAATAAAAGGAGTACGTCACAGGATTACAGATTCTTTGGAATCATTCCATAAAATAATTGAAAATGAAGTTAAAGACAAACATCCAATAGTAACGTTTTTGGAATGCTTGCAAAAAAGCGTCCAGTTCTTCGCTAACACACCTATTGTAGCAAAAAAAAAAAAAGCAAACGATTGCAAATGTTAAAAGATACATTAAAAGTGACGATTTTCTCCAGGATATCAAATTACGTCTACTTAATAATGAAATTAGTGTTGGTAGTTATCTGGATATATTTCAGAATTTATAAATTACGCAATAATATTATTTAAACGAGGCGGTTTAATTTGATTTAAATGCAATACGTAATGCATAACGGTAACGGTAACGGCAAAACGTAATATGTTTTTTGATTAAGTTTGTGGTTCTTAAACATTAATTGATAATTAAAGTGTTGAACTATACTTGGGGTAAAAAGTCGGAAGAATAAATAAAAGTGAATTCCGATTATCTATCCCGTCAGAGGTAAATAGATAAACACGAGTTTTCGAGTATCCACCCTAGGGTGTATTTTTTAGGGTGGACAAACGGACTAACCCCATATAATATATATATATATATATATATATATATATATATATATATATATATATATATATACTTCCAATAGTTAACTTATTGAAAGTAGATGGATATAAGAGTAGAGGGAGGCCTAAGAAAAAAGATGGATGAACTGTGTTAGGGATGATATTATGCGTTACAAAGGAGTGAGTGAATTGATGACAGCTTAGAGAGGGCAATGGAAGACGAAGACATGTTATACCGACCTCAAATAACTATAAGGATAAGAGAAATAAACCTACAGATACAAAGTTATTCACAAATTTACATAGCTGGAATCAAACCGTTCGATACCTCTTTTTCATCAATATGTTCACGTTCAGTCAACTATAGTAGGCTTTAAAGCACAAACAGTTGGTAATGTAATTTTTGAATTTTTCTCTCGAAAATGCTTTTAAAATGTTTATACATAAAGAACTATTATATTATATTCTTGTGCCCCATTATTGAATTACTTCTCTTAACTAATCTACATTTCGCATCACCAATTTTAATTCTATTTTATATATAAACTACGATGATGTTGATTATTATTTATTATCATAAGATATTCATGTTTTCCAACAAACTTAACATTTTCATATATGTAGATACTGGCTCGTAAAAGTCAGAATATTTATTTAATATTTCCCTTAAATAATCAGGGGAACGTAAAATTTAAATCACGTTCTATTTTTTTTTGCATAAAAACAACCGTATTCACGTCATTTGTATGGTCCCGTAGAAAAATACGGAAAGAATTATGGTATGAAATTAGCTAAAGTTAGCTAACCTAACCTAACCTAACCTAGCAGTAGTCACATCCGTTAGTTGGCGAACTTTTCCAACACCTTATTAGCCTAATTTTCTATGTGTCAACCCCCTTACATTCCACACCCTAGATTGATCCGTTTTTCAATAAAATCTAATTTATCATTCTGCACGGTAAGGCATTAGATCATTTATATACATACATTTGGGAGTACAAATATAATGTACTTTTTAGTATTAAGCGCAAAATTACTCGCGTGGAATCTAGTTATAACCTTATCAGGAGCAATGATTACTGCAACGTCGGTCTCAGGTTTTCAGGTAACCTTGAATATCAGTAAAGTATCATCTGCATACAATACAATGATAGTGAGCTTCACAGGATGCACAGTACGCAAAGCACTCCTCTCAATTATTAACTGCCAGTTTATGCATTATCTTGAGAAAAACCATTTGATTAGTGAACACCAGTACGGTGTCCGTCGGGGTCGCTAAGCTGGTGATCTTCTACTTTACTTGGTACATTGGTGGGCAGTAATTACTTTGGAAAAAGGCCTGCGATCAAGATTGGCACAAACCGCTTCTTTCAAAGCTTCCTTCTTATGGGCTTATAAGAAATTATGCGATTGGGTCAGCAGTTTTCTCGTTAGTTTGAGCATTAAGGTCGTAGTCGACGGTGCATGGTCCGTTTTCAAACCTATGAACGCTGCTGCTGAACGAAGCTGCGTGCTATCGCCTACCCTGTTCTTTCTGCATATCAGTGATATGATGCAAACTAGATTATTCTATTCTATGGTTTGTGTTTATAGGTCAAGGTTCGGTTGGATAAGTTGTCGTCTATATAAAACAAAGCGTAGTATAATTTAGATCTGCCTTATAATATCTATTTATGATTTGTGAGCTATTATGACTTTTTATGCTTAAAATGGAAACAGCAAAATCTGTAGCCTACTCAATAACGTCATCATGCGTAAGAATATGAAAAGGTATATATATTACCAGCAGCTAAGAAAACCAAAATAATTAATATTGGTGTTTAAAATAAGTTAATGTAAAAAAATCTAATGTAAAAGTATAAAAAATTGTTAAGTACAAAAGAAAAGTTGTATTCTCTAACAAAGGGAAAATAATGTGTTAGGGGAAAATCTTTCAAAATTTTTCAATAGTTTTCAATATTGATTGACAATTATTATTGACTTTTTAAAAACCAAAAAATAATTAAAATAATTAAATACAATATTATAGGTAAGATAATTACCGTCTAGAAACTTAATATCCAATATAATAAATGCTACTCACCAATAATGCCTAGCGTTAAATAGTGCACAAAATGTATTTTGATAGTTGAACGCCAACTTTTTTTCTTTACGTGATCATTCTGTATAAAAGCTTTTTGGACATAAGCATTACGAGCCAATTCATGTGACCTGTAAAATAAGTTATTTAAGCACTTTGTTTCTTCTTAAGTTTCAAGAAATATCAGGAAGTAATTCTCACAACATGGATTGCATATCGCACGCGTTCCCTCTACTTGCTCTTCTGACTAATAAGCTGTTGTGTTCGTCCATGAGTCTTTGATTTATCACAATAGAGGAACACATGTAATTATCATTCTTATAAAGATATGAACGATAATAAAAATAGTCTTTGTTCAAATAAAGGTATCGGTACTTACTTACGTTTTTACTTCCTCCTGTTGGTGCGTTGCGTAAGTACGTTTTGCTGCATTTTTTTCTGCATTTTGATCTAGAAAGAAATTTTTGCAACGCCATTATTTCAGAAATTGGAGTACGAGAATACCGTATCAGCATTATTTAAAGTAACAATAATTTTTAGCAGCTGTGTACATTTCATTTATGAAATTATTTATCATTTTTGGTATTCAAATCATGAGTGGAAAAACATCTCATAGAAGTTGTTGATTAGATTTTTAAATATTTTATCCCTTTGCTTCTTTATCATTCCATTAAAGTCTACTACTAGATACTCCTTCTCCTGCTGTAGGGAAATTACGATCAAGACAAAAACTATCTTATACGTAAAAATAACAAAGAAACAACTAACGTAAATTGCTATATACGTCGGAAGTGAGAAAAAAGGCATCAATTTATTGTTGGACCTTTATTGTAATAAGTTAAAATGCAGGTATTAATTTAGTAATTATTATTAAAGTATTATTATTAAACGTAATATTTGAACGATTTATCATTCTGTACAGGAAACTTACACAAGCTATTGTAACGAGTTAATAAAAAATCAGAAAATTTGCTATTAGCAAACGTTTACTTGTCTACTGATGAGATAAAATTTGGTGAAGCAGGCGATTAGGCTGTCACGTAATTAATTTATGTAATCATATTTTATAAATTTTGTAATGTTAAAATAGAGTTGTAAAAACAAATTATAGTAAATTATCATATAGTTTTGTTTATTTTTTGGTATTACTTATTTTATTAACATGTAAACTCATTATTATAGTCTTAAACAAATAATTAATTAAAAATAAACACTTACATTCAATCATTTCACTAGAATCACGAGTAATGAAAAGTAATTTATCACAACTAAAACATTAAACCCAAAAATAAATATTTTTTTATAAAATAAACAGAAATAAAACAAGGTTCTGCAAATTTTTAAAGCTTTCGCGAAACAAGCTATTATAAACTGTCGTCTAGAGCAACTATATATGTACAATGAATAAAATGATCAACGGCTGCTCTTGACCAGGCCACTAGCGCCATGAATTATTAACAGACAAAACTTACGTCACGACCCTAATCAATGATTGTTGTTTATAAGTAACACCTTAATTAATCTAATAAAGCTTAAACAGATGTCGGTGTATGTAGAATTAATGGCATGAAAATAGAAGAATATTAATGAGAAAGAAAGGTTTAGTTTCTCCTCCCTGTTCTACATTTAAATATAATACTTACGTGAACAGTTGTGTGTTCTATTTAAGTTTGATTGTGGTCCATAAACGAATAAAATATACATCTTTATTTACGTTTCCAAAATTATTGTATTTACTAAATCTAACGATCTAGCGATTACTACGAGTACGTGAACTGGACTCCACGAAGTGCTGGTGAATTTTCAAACTCTTTGTATTATTCATTTGGTATACTTAAATAGTATTCTCATTTTTTTGGGCTCTATTAATACATATAAAACTATGTGTGCAGTTCACATGCGGTAGAAGTGAAACTTTCAAATGAAATAAAAATATTACACGGTAAATGTTTTATTTAATATGATAATTTTCAAGCATAAAATATAATGTTAAAAGTTTAATTCTATAGCAAATAAATGTTACAATATTTAGTTTTAGACATGCTTAATTTTAATGTAATAAATCAAAAGAATATTATTATTTTTTAAAGTATTTTCTTCCGAGTAAAATCGCTTGGTCGGTTACCTTTTTCGACTTTAATGAAGTTCTCGTTATACGGAATACTAATGTCTACCAAAACTATATTTGATTGTGCCCACTCCATCAACATAATATCAGGCTATTCGCAAGAATAGTCCTGTCTGTAATGATGGCTCGGTCCAAGTAGAGCCAGGCGCGGTTATTTTCGAGCACGGCTTCAAGCAATTACTTATAATAAGGCAGTTTCAGATCCATGGGACCGTATTTCAAAGCTAGCTCCTAGTGTAGGATCCTGTCTACTAGGTTATTTGTGTAAATACTCAGAGTTAGAAAGCGCCTAACAACCGAAGAAGTGCCTAAGTGACTCACTGGGATGGCGACAAGCTCGACAGATGTCGACGGTGCCATCCTTTAGGATGTATCTCCGATAGTTGTTAGTATTTACAGCCTGCTATTGTACTGCACAGAAAAAAACCCTCGATGTCTCCAAGGAGGTCATAGAAACGTAGCCAGTGAGGGAGGCAACTGCGTCTACGAAAGATTCATGAAGAGCCTTGTAGAACCTTCCATGGAACTCCTTCTTCTTCTATACGATCTTCCGCTTGACAATGCTTTGCACTGACTGGTCCTGCCATTGCTCGTTGACTAAGGATAGAGGCACTTTAGCACACGAAATGACGTCTGGGTAGAATGGATCATCCGATCTCGTCAATAAGTAATTACGGAGGTTGCACACTTCGCGATTTTTAGTGTTTCCGCCGTGCATTCAAGAAACTACGATCACTACGTTTTCGCGGCAAGTACAGCCTTGCTAATGACGATCTTGTGTGATGCATCCTATTCCCAAAGGATGCATCACCCGCACTACTATGATATCCCTATCATAGTAGTGCGGACATTTCTATCTAAGGCGTTAAGTTTTGTTTGAGTTCACCTAAGTATGCCAAAGGTATACACGAGAACAGACATGACCCAACCATTATATGTCTGTATCTTATTTACCCACGACAGAAGGCTGTAAGGCGCTTTGGTGAAGTGTGCATAAAACACATTTCAAACTGACTGTTTTCTACCCGCGTATTCGATACCAATGTTCTGTGATTTTTCACAGAACAATGCTATTGATCATACCCAGGTATAGGTGTGTATAAACTGACCATTTATTTTTAACTCCAAACGGGACATGGGTTTATTCATATACTCCAGTTAGCAGGTTAACAATAAAAATATAGGCAACTTTTTAATGTTTTTTATTTATAATAACTGTAACTTTATACAATTAGTATTCACTATATTTATATTCACATTAATTATAATTATTTTTATTATAACAAATTGTGAAAATTAGAAATCAATCACCAGTTCACCATCTTCGAGAGTAATTACTAAATGTAACATATTTATTTAATTATATTTATATTTGTCAGTGGAACAAATTTGCTTTAATAAAGTTGGTGAATAAAATTCTGGGCATGTTTTTTATATTGACCTTTTTTATCAACATAGCCTATAGAACTGGAACCGTAAGTGATTTTTTTCAGACGTCCACAATTTATTCATAATAGAAAAATACTCTTTCTACTGGAGCATTTGTACCAGGTAGACCTGAAATATATTCGATTAAAATGCAAAAAAAAATCTGTTGAAAATTGTTGAATTGAAATTCTACCTAACGAGTTTCGGCGGAAATTTTTAAATTATCCCATTCGATAATTTTTTGTTGATCTCGCTCTCGCACCTTTCCTGTCTGACAAACTTCATAGTCTTAAATTTTCGCGTGGTTTCGGAAAACGGGACAATTTTGCGTCCAGAAGCTTTGTTTGGGGACATCAGGACAAGTGACCGAGAAAATGGACAGGTGACCGAGAACAGGGACAGTCCCGTTCAAAACGGGATGTATGATCACGTTAGGTATGTAGTATGTTCCAGCTTCGAATAGGATCTTAATGTTGATGAGCATAAATGTATGCCCTCAGAATAAGCGACCCTATTCCTTTCGATATGGAGGACCGCACACCTATACACCACACCACGTCCTCAGCTCCTTTCCGATAGAATTGCTAAAATCACAAGTGATATTTAGCAATTCCATAAGATCGGTGCGACTGGAGGCGAAACACTTGAGATCACCTATATAGAAAAGGTCGGTCACTATTGTCCCTCTTTTACGATGCTGAAATCCCCTTCTGGTGTCCTCGAATGAGGTACTCAGAGCTGGTAGCGCACGAGAATGTGGCACAGACTAAGGTTGAAAGTTATTCGTTTTGTGTTATACATAATACATTGTAATTTATCCTGCGTGGTGAACTCTGCCCCTACCAGCGACGCTTTATGAAAAATGTAACGAATAGAAAATTATAAAAATAAATATCGTCTATAAAGATGTTTATTTCCGAAAAGCGATGCAGTGATCAAAGTACATAGAAGAAAATATATCTTCAATTTTATACACATATTGTGCAAGTAACGGAAAATCTATTTAAACACTGAACATGAATTTCGTACTCTTAATGGAAAACAGCATAAACAGCGTGTGCACGGATCTGGGTATTTCAGTCTTCAATACTGTAAAATGCTTGTTATGTCGATTAAACTTATTTTTATACAAAATGGAATTGGGATTAATTAGGGTAAGGTGTATAAATAAAAATAGGTCATAAATAAAAATATATTAGATTATTAAACAATGTCATGATAGTTCCATACTACAAAAATAATTAATAAAAGTTATACATATCAAACATCAATCAATTAGTCCGTATGAAACTATTTAAATTTATAGAGAGTCAATGAAATGAACTGAAGTTGTTGTATTTTTCCGCCTGGTTATATCATATGGTTGAGTGGGCGATATACTCGATGTTCGATGAAACTCTGAAAAAAAAAACAATAACGTTCAAAAATAAGAATAACATTTTTATTGTCGTCATACGAAACACAGCAGCATTGATCGGCTATTTTCTGTGAGAGCGTAGTCCTTCTCCGGTTGAGTTGACCCATTCGTGTTATAACCATAATATTTGGTTGATCAATAAGTTTTTATTCCTTAAGAAACAGTTTTATACGCAATAAATTATGTTTAATATAGGGTTGTTATAAAAGAATTTGCTTAATGTCTTAATTGTATCGTAAATATTTTTAAAATGATTTCAAAGACTCACAGTATAGCTGCCAGTGCGTTCTATGGAATATATTATAATAAGAAGCAACTGTATGTTGTATGACGGAATATTTTTGTAAAATAACTTAAATACTACGAAACTGACTAAGCTTGAATTGGTCTCAGAAACATAGGTTCTGATTTTGAAAAATTTTAAACTGAAACCGTTTCATCGTATTACCATTTTTAATATTCATTAATAACAGTCGATTAAAGTCCACTACTGTATATAGGCCTATTTATAGATTGCCTCATAAGAGGGCAAATTAAAAGAATCAGCCGTACTTTTAGGCGTTACTTGCGGAAATCTATTATATTAAAGTTGATAAAAATAAATTTGCTAAATTCCGCGTAATTATATAAAATGATGTGTGTTATCTAGTTTGAAGAGCACCTCCCGCCCTCCATCAATTGCATGGACTATTCCCATCACCAGTAGTCTCAATACCACCGCCATTTCACGGCAAATTTTTTGGAAACCCATTACTATTAAAAAATTGTAACGTGAGAATGTCCACTACACTACAAATGTACACCAAAACTGTATTTAAAACGAAAAAGATTAACGTTATTGGAAACCCGATGTATTTATCTTGTAATTAGTGAATGATGAAATGAACAGAATGTTTAAAATTTTGACATTAGTCATTGCTCTCAGTTAGACATTAGGAAGGTTTTATTATCAGCTACTTAGTTGAGTATAACTCATAAAAGAGATTAAGACATTATGTGAATATGTGTGATATTTTAGAAAACTACTACGACGACGCCTTTTGTATGGTATTAAGCTTCCTTAAAATATTAAATCCATTCAAATATATTTCGCTGTATTGTGTAACACAATTCCGAGAGCTTTAAATTATATATATCGTATGAACAATATTAGTGAAATTGAATTAATATTACCATTAAAAATATATACGTTACAATATATACTTGGTAAATGAGTTAATTGTATATCTATTTTTTAATGTAACGAGATAGACTAATAGACAAATAAATATAAATTTGAGATCTAAGGAATGTATTCCATATTATAATATAATAAGTAATAATAATAAGTATTCCTTTTTATATAATAATTAATACTTAATATTAATATTTAGTAATATATATATATATATATTACTAAATAGTAATATTAATTATATATATATATATATATATATATATATATATATATATATATAATTCCATATAAGTAACATGTTATTTTAACAGAACTCTTGGTTTTGTAACATACTAAATACTAATTCTCTAATGTAATATAGTTATAGATTCATTTTATGATTTATTTATTTATGATTGATTGATTTATTATCTCCTCAAATAACAACAAACTTAACCACAGAATAACCAACATAAACTATAAGTATATTTATGGTTATTTTACTGTTGATTACATATTTAGACTTACTACGTAACGGTAACAACTGTATTATTAAGAGGATAGAAAAGCGAGCAAAACGTATAGTTTTTAGACAATGGACATAAACCATAGAAAACATGGAAAATATTTCGACGCTGTACAACAATTTGTGAAAATATATTGCGAAGAACGGAAAAGTACGAGTATTGATGAAGAAATTTTGGTGTCTCAATTAGAAGGAAGAAAAGCTATCATTACATATTATATTAAATGCTTGATCCAAAAAGTTACAGCGCGAAAGCTTGGGTTCTATTCTTACATATTGAAAATAGATTTTAAAGACGGAACCAAAGGCAAGTTCATCCTAGTTTATGAAGAAAAACTCAGATGGATATGGAAAATTAAATGGAGAAACGATCATTTGTATGAAGAAAGATAGAAAAAAACTAGTACTCGTAAATTGTAAAAAACAAGTAAAGTAAATGTACGCTAAAGTCACCTTGATATAACGTAGCAATATATATATGAGACTTAGCCAGTGATATATAAATAAAGCATATAATGTTAAGATTCAATTTGATAACATTAATATAATCTTTTTATAACCATTTCTTTGTTGTTACTGCGATAATTTTAATATCTTTTTACAACGTTTTTTATGATTTAATAACTTGAATAATCAATATCTATATAAATCATTTATAAATTAAATACATATAAAGGATTTTAATCAATATGATAACTAAGGCTAGTTGTCAAGCATTACCTGAAATGAGAAGATATGTCATAAAGTTAGGACCAAATAGACTAATAGGAAAAAAAAAACTAAAATTATCCAAAATACTCTCCAAAAATAGAATATATATATTAATGTACGTAAACAATTTAAACTTAGTATTATTAAAAATGAGGAAGTAGTTATGGTAAACACGTTAAACGAAAGTATCGGAAATTATATTACGAAATTAAAATATTTTATTAAGAAGAAAAATGAGGTAGGGAAACTTTGAGTCTCAATACCAGAATCAGTAATGAAAAATGATGAAAAAGTAATTTAGAAATTAATTGATGAGTGCAATTCCCCTACTATTACAGTTTTTCATGGGCGGCGGTAGTCACTTACCATCTTTTTTTATAATATCAATGATATCGAATAAAATGTATTGTTACTAACTAAGTAATCGATTTTAAAACCAATATCAAACTTGCACTGAAAAGCAAATTTAAAGATAAATGAACAATATACAACAATTGAGTTATTACTAGACAATATATGATGTAAGTTGCTTGCTAAAAACTGCTATCGGGTCTAAATTGGGAAAGATACAACAAAATGACGCAACAATTATAGAGTTTGGACAACATATATCAGAGTTGTAGATATTTTTAATTTGTAAAAGACAGCAATCAATTAATCGTCTATAAGTCAAAGACGCTGTACAGGCTGTAATTGACGAGAAAACATTAACTTCGCCGTCTTTATATACTCAAAAGGAGTCCATCACACAAAGGGAACTTTAAAAGAGGTTACTTATACAGGTATAACAAATACGTTTCAAAATTATAACCACTAATGAAGACAAGTCTTCGAAACTGGTGGATATCATGCGATAACCAACAACAGAACTCGAGGAGGTATCGAAATCATATTCAATATAGAAAAATAAACAAAAGACTACTGCTGAATGTGGGGCCCCGTAGATTGCTTCGTAGAGGGAATATTTGCCACAGTTGCCACGCTTGGCAAGCGATTTGGCAACCGCAGTTTTTATTTTTATTATAAATGTGGTGCCCATATACTAACCTAAAACCTAACCTAAAGTTACATGATGCATTTCAAGACACCTAATGCTAAGAAAGATCCAGGAAAAATAAAAGATATTAACGATTATTATCGATCTCCAACAAATAAAACAAAAATAAATATTTAAGCATTTGCCTATCATCGTCATCATCATCATCATCATTACAGTCCTTCACAAGTCCACTGTTGATCATAGGCCTCCCCCAAGGAATGCCACAAAGCACGGTGCTGATCAACCTACATCCATCGACTTCTTGCATATCTTACCAGTTCGTCACTCTATCTAGTGGGGGGACGTCCTACACTTCGTCCGCCGATATGAGACCGTTACTTGAGAACCTGTTTTCCCCATCGGTTGTCGGTTCTTCGAGCTATATGGCCGGCTTATTGCTACTTCAGCTTAGTAATTCGTTGGACTATGTCCGTCACTCTGGTTCTACTGCGGATATCCTCATTTCTAAGTTTATCACGCAGAGAAACTGCGAGTATAGACCTCTTCATAGCTCGCTGAGCGACCTTGAGCTTCCTCATACGGCCAGCAGTGAAGGACCACGTCTCAGTTCCGTAAGTCATCACTGGCAACACGCACTGGTTGTACAATTTCGTTTTTAGGGTTTGAGGTATGTCTGACGAGAAGATGTGTCGTAGCTTCCCGAACGCTGCCCAGCCGAGTTGAATCCTCCGATTGACCTCTCGGTCGATGTTGGACGTATCTAGTCGGACTATTTGTTCCAGGTAAATATACTCGTTAACAACTTCGAGCTTAGTGCTCTCAACAACTACCAGCATGGACGATGCACATGATCTTTGTTTTGTCCATGTTCATCTTAAGACCTATACGTTGGGAAGCACTATTGAGGTTATTAGCAAGCATATTAAGCAGTGCTTAGGTCCTCCAGTGATTCTGTCATAAGGACTATATCGTCGGAAAATCGAAGGTGAGTGATGTACTCGCTGTTGTTGTAAATACCGTATTCTTTCCAGTCCAGAAGCTTGAAAACGTCTTCCAATGCAGCGGTGAAGATTTTCGGAGATATAACGTCACCTTGTCTTAGACCTCTCTGCAGTTGGAGAGGTTTCGTACTCTGGTTCTGTACTCGGATAGCCATCGTAGCCCTACTGTACAATCACTTCAGCACTTCGATATACCGACAGTCAATTTGGCACCGCTGAAGGGACTGCAGCACCGCCCAAATTTCGACGGAATCAAAGGCTTTCTCATAGTCCACATACATAGTGGCAAATTGCACTCCTCGGACTTCTGTACAATTTGCCGAAGGGCATATATGTGGTCTATGGTGCTAAAGCCTTTTCAGAAACCGGCTTGTTTGGGAGGCTGGAAGTCGTCGAGTCTGCATGCGTGACGATTCGTAATGACTCTCGAAAACAGCACGTAGACGCGGCTCAGAAGAGAAATCGGTCTATAATTCTTCAAGAGAGTGTTGTTACCTTTCTTGTAGAATAAGACCACCGCACTTTTGCTCCACGCCTCCGGTGTAGTGCCACCATGGAGGACGGAATTAAAGAGCTCCTCAAGGACT